CAGTCGTACGCAACTCCTAGTAGTGCACCATCGGACGCTATTCCATTCCCCTTATCTTAGTCAGTAATGCTAATCTACCTAGCACTCGTGCAGCAGCTGACGGGCTTCAAGAGAACGGAACAAGTCGGTCCTGTACTTGTTCGATAAGCTTTCATTCACCAATATTACTATTCCCGATCGAAACCAGGATTTCAACGAGCCCGTGGCTCAATGGGTTAGAAAGTTAAACCTCTAAGAACCAATAGGTCGCGGATTAAACCCGCGGATGGTGCATCATGACTGATGCGTATGACCGATTGCTGACTTCTAACAAGCCAGAATTTGGTCCTTTTAGTTCTCTTCGTCTTTCTGGATAATGCTAAGCTATCTCGGAACAAAACTATCAGCCAAGAAACGCCCACTTTAATAAGTTTGCCTGAACAAAACGGCACTATTTCAAACGCAATCAAACGCTGCTTTCTGTGCACCGTTGAAACACCTTGCACTGCAGCTCACTACGGAGTTAACAATTCTGCGGTGGTCATCCTAATTAAAGGAAAACCAATTCTACGCCGCTTGAAAGGGCGTTTGCAAATATCTGTTTAGTGTCGGTAAACACAAAGACAGCTGAGAAGCAGGCAAGCTAGTCTATTAACTAAGTAAGTGTGAAGACAATACCACGCGCTCATTAATTTACGAACATTTTTTTAATATGGGGCACGTTATGTTGACGGTAAACTGGCCTTTTGTCTGTCTGGTTATGCAGCATTAATTCAAGCAGTTTTCTCTTGTGAAGGAGCCTACCTACGCATGGATTAAACTATCTGATAAAAAAATACTGAAACCACTTGGTGAATCTAAACTGGTTCTAAATATTCATCCTTTTGAATATCGTGCCTATATGGCCCTTTTGCCGTCTTTTTAAGTGACATTTTTAGATCCTACATTGTGTTCTTAACTATGGTTTTGCGGCCTCCCAGTTAAGCTGCTGAACGGATTCAACTTGTTGTTTATGACTTAGTCGTCACCAAAGTTATGAAGCCCCGCAAAACAGTTGATAAATCGTCGCTAATGTCTCAATGGCATATAAGACTTTGTTATATCGGTGTGTTTACTTTCTGGATATGTGTTTAAAATGGTGATCGGTGTTTTCTTGGGTTCGACGATGCACGTAATTTCAGTCATCTGTCCCATCTTTGATGTTGTACCTCTGATGTTGTACCTCTGACGGCAATACTCATAGTTGTTTTTAGTTTACATGGTTATCTCTTCGAAAACTTATTTGCTGATGAATGTTAACTAAACGGTTGAATCTCATCATTTGAGTCCGACGTCTGTAAATTGAGTAAAACTAGAAGTTAATTTGACACATGATCATTTTGTAATTCGCCAGCATTTAAATGC